AGAGTTTAGGAATATACTTAGGTCATGTAGAAAGAAAATTAGAGAGATGAAGGCACAACTTGAACTTAACCTTGCCACTTCTGTGAAGGATAACAAAAAGTCCTTCTACAGATACATCAAGAGCAAAAGGAGGGGGCTAGGAAAACCTCCATTCTTTGTTGGACATGGGTGGGAATATAATTATCAAAGATGAGAAAAAGGCTGAGGTATTTAACACCTTCTTTACCTCAATTTTCAACAGTAGGACAGGTTGTCCTGAGGATAGCTGGCTTCTGGAGCCTGTAGAAAGAGATAAGAAACTGAATACCCCCTTGTAATCCAGGAGGGAAGAGTTAGCAACATGCTGAGCCATTTGGATCCTCACAAGTCTATGGGACCATATGGGATCCACCCAAGGGTGATGAGGGAGCTGGCAGAAGAGCTCGCCAAGCTGCTCTCCATCATTTATCAGCATTCCTGGTTTATTGGGAATGTCCCAGATGATTGGAAGTTGGCATATGTCACACCGATCCACAAAAAGGGCAGGAAGGAAGACCCAGGAAACTACAGGCCTGTCAGCCTGACCTCAGTGCCTGGCAAGGTTATGGAGCAGATCATCCTAAGTGCAATCACACAGCACCTACAGGATGGACAAGGGATCAGACCCAGCCAGCACAGGTTTAGGAAGGGCAGGTCCTGCCTGACCAAGCTAATCTCCTTTTATGATCAGGTGATGAGGGGGAGGCTCTGGATGTAGTTTCCCTGGGTTTCAGCAAAGGCTTTGACACCGTCTCCCACAGCATACTCCTGAAAAAACTGGCAGCCCATGGCTTGGACAAGGGCCCTCTGTGCTGGGTTAGGAACTGGCTGGAGGGCTGAGCCCAGAGAGTGGTGGTGAACGGGGCTGCATCCAGTTGGTAGCCGGTCACTAGTGGTGTCCCACAGGGATCATTGTTGGGCCCAGTTCTGTTTAATATCTTTACTGATGATCTGGATGAGGGGACTGAGTCCACCATCAGCAAATTTGCAGATGACGTTAAGTTGGGGGGGGAGTGTCAATCAGCTGGAAAGTAGGAGGGCTCTGCAGAGGGACCTGGACAGACTGGAGAGTTGGGTTGATTCCAACAGGATGAGGTGCAACAAGGCCAAGTGCTGGGTCCTCCACTTTGGCCACAACAACCCCATGTGGCACTACAGGCTGGGCACAGAGTGGCTGGAGAGCAACCAGGCAGAAATGGACCTGGGAGTTTGGATTGACAGGAAGCTGAACAGGAGCCAGCAGCGTGCCCAGGTGGCCAAGAAGGCCAATGGCATCCTGGTCTGGATCAGGAATGGTGTGGCCAGCAGGACCAGGGAAGTGATTCTTCCCCTGGACTCAGTGCCGGTGAGGCCACACCTGGAGTACTGTGTCCAGTTCTGGGCCCCTCAGTTCAGGAAGGATATTGAGGTACTGGAGAGTGTCCAAAGAAGGGGAACGAGGCTGGTAAAGGGACTTGAACACAAGTCCTAGGAGGGGAGGCTGAGGGAGCTGGGGTTGTTTAGCCTGGAGAAGAGGAGGCTCAGGGGAGACCTCATCACTCTCTACAACTACCTGAAAGGAGGTTGTAGCCAGGTGGGGATTGGTCTCTTCTCCCAGGCAACCAGCAGGAGGACAAGAGGACACAGTCTTAAGCTGTGCCAGGGGAGGTTTAGGTTGGATATTAGGAAGATATTTTTTACAGAGAGATAAATCAGACATTGGAATGGGCTGTCCAGTGAGGTGGTGCATTCTCCACCCTGGAGGTTTTTAAGATGAGACTGGATGTGGCACTTAGTGCCATGGCCAAGTAACCACAGTGGTGCTGGATCAAGAGTTGGACTTCATGATCTTGGAGGAATTTTTGATTGCAAGATAATCGGTTCTTTAAACAGATTAAAGCAATACCATCTAATTTTACTAAATAAAAACTCTATAAAGCAGTGTTCATTAACTAACTCGAAAGGTCTTCTCACTGATTTGTCTATGCATAATCACTTCTGTAATATGCTTTATAAAAAAATCTGAGATTCAAAAGAAACTGATGAAAATGTAAAAAAAAAATTCTTTTATAAGAATTTCTCCTAAGAAAATGACATTTATCTTCTTTACTGAAATTGAAAGGCAAAATACTAGTCCCGGTCACCAATAAAACTGTCAATCCAGTTCATCTGAAGCATTCATAATTTTGGGTGTGGTGAGAAGGGAATTGAGCAGAGTGTCAAAGAACATTGATTTGGACACTTGTCCACTGATGGTCCACTGTTGAAACATGTTGTATCCCTCAGAAACAAAGAAAATCACATCCAATATTTTGTACCCCAGGCAGCTTTTATTTACACTTTTTGAACTCCTTTTTCATTTCTACCTCCGAAGAAAAACTTGCTTCATGGCAATGCAAGGTAAAATGGGAATGACAACTTGAAACAAGAGAGGATTGCCAGTTTTCATCGTAAGTCTGCCAAGTTGCCAGCTAGAAAATATTAACAGCTAGGAAATTGTCCTTGGAAAAGTGTTTTGGTTTTCTTTACTATGAGCATATATGCAAGCTTTACATTAGAATACATTTATTTATTTTGATTTTATTGTGTTTCTTTTTTTTTAATTTAAGAGACTCAATGTACATCTCAAAAAAATCTTGTCTCCTCCGAGTCATTTTTTAAGTGAGCTACTCCTGTCCCAGACAATTTTACAAAGGATAAACAAAGGACAAAGTTTTCCAAACGAAACCTCAAGTGAACTGTTCCCGTTATGGCTCAGCAAAAGCCTTCCCAGATTTTTCCACATAGAAGAAATTTCATTTCCTCTTTTGGAGCTTATAACATAATCTGGTGGTAAACATTTTTTCCTTTACCTACTATTCAAAACCTTATTCTGCATTGTAGTGGTTTGAACCAGGTTTTCCCCCTGAAGCTAAGAAAGTGGTAACCCCCAGGGTGTGGTGACACTTGAGATTTGAACCAATCTGCTCTCCTGTGAAATATAAACATACCACAACCAGACCGGAAGAGACGAGTTGTAGTTTGGTTGTAGAAGTGGTAGCCATGTTCTGAGGCCACAAGGAGCAGAGTGCAGGAGGCCCCTGGGGGGCTTTGGCCCCCCAGCCCCCAGCGGGGGCTGCGGGGACCTGGAACAGCATAAAGCTGGGCTAGGTGCCTGCAGGTGAGAGCTAAGAAAGTTTTCTCCACTGTGAGTGAGTAGAGATAGCAGCGGCAGAAGCAGCATCCAGAAGCGATGGCAGAGAGCCAAAAAGATAAGAACGCAGTAGAGGCGTCTTGCAACCAGGCAAGCAGACACAGAGATGTCTAATGAAGAGAGAGAGAGACGAGAGAGCAGCAGGGAGAGAGGAAGTTGGGGTAAGAACTGGAATAAGACCCCATACCCCTCTGAGACCTCAGAGAAAGGAGGGAGATGGACTCCTATTAAGGAGAGGAGCCTTGGAGTACTGCAGCACCAGAGAGAGTAAACGAGCTAAGAAGCTCGGTTGTCCTGAGAGCTCAGTCAGGACGGTGTGTAGGAGGGTGACCTTGGGGCCCTCCCTTGCTGCAAGCTACAAAGAAGCTCGCAGACATCTTGAGGCAGGGCACAGAAGCTCTGCAAGGGGCTTGAATCCCCTGAAGATACCAGACCGTCACAAAGACCCCCTGGGCTTCATGGTATGACCGTGGTGGAACGACCTTTGTCTGGGGTGAACGTAGCCCACGGAAGACCCCTTTGCCTGCTTCGAGGGGCCGAGAGGGGCTTGGATACCCCCCTCGTGAGTGCTGGCAGAAATCCAGCCACAGCTGCTGCATGCATGAGATGAGGAGAACCTGCTGCCTTAGAAGATACTGCTGCTCAGAGACTGGAAAGGATCTGTCCTTCTTCCCTCCTGGACTTTTATTTGGAGGGGAGAAGAGATCTGATCCATTGTAAATACTTATGTCATGGTAGAGATAGTTGTGATAGTGTGTATAATGTATTATAATATTTATTTGTATAGTCATCGTAAAATATTCCCTTTCCCCATTCTGAGTCTCATGTTTTGTCTGGAAAAAACACCTTATACTGGTTGAGATAGGGGAGGGGGCTTTGACTAGAGAATTAGATTTTTTCGAGGCTCTCAAACCATGACATGCATGTACAGGTTTTAAGTCGAGTAACTCTTCATTAACATTAATGAACAACTACTTGAGAAAAATCTTCATGTTTTCAAGGGGATATTAAGAAAACATGGTGTCTTTACCCTACCAAGAGGAAAGTTCTGTAGGCATGCATAATACAGTGAGAGAATAAAAACAACCAAACACTTAACCAAACAAAAATAAAACAAAACAATCAAACAAGTCAAATGGTAAACAGCATTTTGTCAGGGGGTAGATATAATTAAGTTCCTTGGATGACCACGTGCCTGTATAATTGTGTTAACAAAGGGAATATTCTCTCTCACACATTCAACATTTTCAGATTTCAAAATGACATGACTAACATTAAGTTTTGGGCCTATTAAATCAGACACAAACTTTTATATTTCAAGGTTATTCAAAGAAATATAATTTCTTGATTATTTGCACTTCTTACAAAACTCACACCTTATTGAAATTCGTGACTCAAAAGAAACTGTTGTCCCATTTTTATAAAAAATTAAACTTTGTTCTACCAAGTAAATTCTGATGATATTAATCATATGCAACATCAGTGTCTCCTACATTATCACTCTGAATTTCAGCAAAAGCAAAACCCTAAATACAGAGCTTGCTGTTGCATCACAGAGGATGAGAAATCTAGCAAATACTACAGAGGACTGCATGCAGTATACATTTTGAGGAAGTACAATCAAAAAAAAAAAAGAAGCTTGATTTTTCCTCTTAGTTTCATTTGAATAATCAAACTCTAAATTGTAGCACTTAAATGGAAGTCAAAGAACTTGGAGTGTGATGGAGGAAGCAGTAATCAGTTTGAAAAGATGTTGAATCTCTGATGAGCATTGAATATGTCAGATTAAGTTATGCCCTAGAAAGGGAGGATCCCTGAACAACTGCTAGTCACTTTAAATTATTCTGCATTTCAAACAGGAAATCATCCAATTAGACTAACAGCTGCAGAGATTGAAATAAGCCTTACATATTTGAAAATTAAGGAAATGCAACTAAGTACCAAGGAAAGGAGCTAAGGTAAGTCATTTTCCCTCTCCTTTTCTTCAACAGAACTTAATTTCAAGGACTTTTAGGATAAGAAAATGACTGCAAATTTATTACGTGTAGTTAAGATAGGAAAAAACATTTGCCATGAATTATGCTGGATAATTCTTTTTCATATGTATGTTGTGTTTGTCCTAAAATATCCATTGTTTCTTTCAAAGTGGGTGGAGAACTCTGTATTTCTCCTTTTCCCAGGTCCATTCCAATACCATCACTATTATTTCCAAATGTTTTAAAAAAGATAAGCCAAAATACTACATTGGAATGACTTTTTAGTTGAGTCATCTCCATTTGAAACTCTCTTTTCAAAGATAGTCTGAGATTGCAAACTGCAAACTATATGTAAGAAAAGAAACATAGTTGAAGTTGGGAAAAACAGTAACTCAGAAGATAAAAATGAAATTTTATACCGTGAAAAAACCCAACCTCAACAACAAAAAGAATTCTCATGCCAAAGAAAATAGGATGATGAAAGAAAACAATATTGAAAATACAGCTTACACCTTGAGCGTTCTATTGTATCTGAGAAAATAAATAAAATCAATCTATTTTTACCTAGACACCATCCATGTCATTTCAGGATCTGAAGATGTAAGCCAGCATGCATGTCAAAATTATGTTTAGCTTTTAATAATTGGACTAGTGTTAGACATCAGTCTCTAAAACCAAAATGGATAGAGTCATGATGTGTCAACCATGAATTATAAACATGGTTGTTTTGGTTTGGGGTTTTTTTGTGATGAAATATGTTTTAAGCAAAAAAAAAAAATTAACATGATAAAACTATATATTTCCATAATGATTCTCTCAGACACCTACAGATACTACTCCTGCAGCTTTTGGCACTGTGCATCCCGTAACTGGCCTTCAGGAGACGTCTCTTTTCTGAAGAGGTGGTTCCTTGAAGAATCTCAGGTTAGATAAGCACTTTGATTTTTTTAAAACTGTGCACTAAATGTCAAGGCACATTCTCATGCTACATACACAATTCCTCCTACAGGCTTTGCTCCTAAGTGTTTAACCTGGGGTCTCTGTCCCTTTGATACATACACAACATCTTGTAACTTACCACAAGAGTTCACTGAAATCACAACCGAATCTCTAGCAGGCAGAAATACAGCCTTTCAGTGCTATAATTCCTCTCATTTTAAAATGCCTCATTCCCCTGATGCTTTTTAAATGAGCCTTAAACCATAATTAGGAAAAAGTCTAATAATTTTCCTTAATATGTAATTTCAGATTGCTTTCTGCAGAAGATCTTTAACTGATGTTAAAGCTTTGAAAGTCTTGATAGGATCAAAGACAAATTCATCAGGAAGAATATATAGAGGAAAGTGACTAATTTCTTATACCAGTGTATATTCACGTCACATCAAGATTTAGCCAGCTCTGGAAATATTAGATCTGAATTGCCACTGAAATGTATAATTTCAGTAAGAAAGTGAAATTAAAGAAAATCCAGGAGACACTCTCTTGCTTACTGATAGACAAAGGATTCAAAGACTAAAGTGCCCCTAAGAGTGAATTTTTCCAGTCCAACAGATGCATTCAGTTGGGAAAAAAACAAACCTTTAAGCCAGAAATATGTTCAAAAAGTATAATTTAACTTTAAAAATGGATTAAAATGTATGTTTAAACGGTCATTGGAATCAAAGGTTCAAATGAACAGTTTGAATAGAAAGCTTGTTGCTTTTAGGTTGCACAGAAGATGCTTGTTCTTGGGAAAATTTAAACTTGTGTTAAAATATTAGATTTAATATTCTACAATGTAATAGACTAATTATCAAATGTATTGAGACCAAGGGATAGCATAGCACTGCATTAGAATGCATCAGATGAACAAATGCCTGGAAATCACTCTGACCGCTGGTGAAATGAACCTTGTTTTATGCTTGTAATCAGTGTATCCTGCTATGGGAAAATCCAGAGGATTTTCATGGGATGTGGCACAGCACTTTTGCTCTCCTGTTAAAGACTCTTTCTTGTATTGCTTAATAAGCATCACTTAATTTGACTGCAGTACATTTAATGTATTATACAATAAAGATACAAGACCCATTGAAAATCAACTGTGATTTTTTTTAATTTTTTTTTTTTTAAGTTCCTCAGTTACCTGAAAGAGTCTTTTTCTTGTGGTAACTAACTGCTGATAAGATCCAGCAATGATAATTTGTATGCTCAGTGCATCCTGGTGTGAGGGGGTTTTTTGTCTACTCGATGATTTTAAAACTGTTCATAGACTGACAGCAACTGTTCTTAACCTGATTCTTTTAAGCTGATGAGGACTAACTGCAATCATCTAATCTAACCTCACACCAATCATCTAATCTAACCTCACACCTAGAAGTTAGAGACTTCAAACTATGAGCTCCCAATTCCTGTCTGTTGATTGAATTTGAAAATGTCAATGGTTGTTGTGGCAATGAATTTGCCATATGCAGTATGGAAAAAGTCCTGTCAGAGATGGACTGGTGAGGAAAACAGCTCAAACCTTATGGAAACAGAAGTTTTTACTGTAGTTTAAACATGTTTCAACATGTTTGTGTATTTTTTGCAGTGTCACTGTCTCCCTCTCCCAGACACCCCCTGTGAAGCTATTGTCTCCCACACAAGGTGTCCTGGGAAGGTGTCCTGAGATGTTTCCCATTGGTCCTTTGTTAACCCCTTCCTATTGGCTGTTGACCCCTTACCTGATGGTTTTTTCTGTGTGACCCTGAACTTGTGATTGGCCCCCGTTGACCTTCCTAAAAGCCTTATAAACCCCAACCCCACAATAAACTTCCTCTTTCGTCCGTCCCTCCCAGGTGGTCTGTGTGTGCTCCTTGCGGGGTCACCGGGCCACGTGCTGGGGTGGGGGGAAGGGCATTCACCTCGCAGGTAATGGGGCAAGCAGCTTAAGGCCTGGAGATCTCCCCCAATTCCCCCTCAATCCGCCGTAGGTTGTTGTGTTGTTTCAGAAACTGAGTATGTGGCTGCTAATAAGATGTTAATGTGATGAATGCTACTTCCCACATAGTTTTGAAAAATAGGTATTGCCGAACTAACTTCAATTCTATGTGAATACAAGTTTATCTGACAGATGCACAAGTGATAATGCAATAGAAATCTGTAATGTATTCGATATCACACAACTTAGGGTTAAGAAACTTGAGCAACACAAAGTTAGTGTGCTGCATATCATCAGGATTAAACATTAGTTAAACAGTATATTTCAAAAAAGGATTGTAAATAATAAGTCTTAATCAATTAGGAGAACTGTGAAGGAGTAAAAGTGATTCAGACTATAATTTAAAGCTTATGTTAGCTAATGTTGAAAAATCAAAATCATTGTCAAACAAAAAAAGGGAGTTTTACCATACAGATAGCATCAAAGAGAGGTGGTTTTGGGTAGGAGGAATTCAAACAGATGTGGAAAACCAGAGATTTTTTTTTAAAAATTATTAACTTAGTATGCATATATATATATATATATGGATTTATGGATTTATGAGTTTCAATAAAGCCAAATATTGGAATATCTCTCATAGCAGCAGACAGAAAACTTTCATGGGAAAGAGTGATACTTGAAAAGACACAAAAATACTAGTGGATGATCTTCTGAATATGAGTGCCCATTCTGTTGCCACAGCCTAAAGGGTTAATGTGAACCCTGCATGTATTAATTCTGTTATTACTCATGGTCAAGGGAATTACATTTCTCATATGGAACAGCTTGGTGGACTGGAGGACTCAGAGGAGTGCAACAAGGCTTATTAAAGGGTTGAACAAAGCCTTAGAATGAAACACCTGAGGAGCTCAACAGATTAGTTCAACAAGAACAAAAATGGATAATTACATCACATCTATAGGGAAGACACACATAATAGTGGAGTTTCCACTCTAGCAGAAAATGTGAAAGCTGAAAAAATTTAGATTGAAGTTCAAAGATATTACTAGAGTGAACAATTCAGTATTTTGATTGGAATATATGTACAGATGTTCATTCTCTGAAAATAATTGTAAATAATCCACAAGGCTTCAAGGAACCATGTATTTTAAGGAACTGGCAAGTGTTCTTAAGTAGTTCCCAATAATTATTCACATTTTTCTCTTTAGTTTCTATTTACCAGCTGACTAAGCCCATAATTATCTGTATGCCTGTGAAACTAGCTGCTGGTATGCACCAGAGAATGTATTATTGGTTTCCACAGAAGCATAATCAAATCATGATGACTTGCAGTAATCACCATTACTTTTTAGGCTTGAATCAGTTCCTTCAGTACCTCTTAAACAGAAAAAAAAGAGAAGACTAGCCTAGAACTTACACACTTGGAATGTTATATTTCAAAGGCTAGAAAACTGTCACTAATAATTTAGAGAAATTATTTTGATTTTCATATTGAAAGAGAAAAACACTGCAGTATGTTTCTGTTTACAACTCCCATGTGTTTTTAATTTTAAGTCATATTTTCTAGACATTCTTGACCACTTGTCTCATTCTCTCTGTTCTGCTTTGGCTTTCTTAGGCTGACATCAGACTACCTAATCTCTCTTTTATTAGTTAGAAGATTACTCTTAAGGCCAACAAGATCATTTACATCCAACTTGTCCTGGATTCAGAAAAAAGGTAACAATGCCTTCACTCTCTTGTATGTTTGACCCTTATCAAATGGATTTAAACTTAGGGATTTTAACACTCTTAGGAAATCTTCCTATTAGATTTCAGAAATATCAGCTAGATGTTCATGCATGCATTTCTAGCCTTTACCAATGATTCTGAAACTGGTGTATAACCAAATAAGAACTTTTTGTCCAAGGTCTTATTGCTGAAGATATCATTGTACCGACATCTTAATTTTCTACTGAATTAATAGACTTTATCTGCTCCCTTTTTCTATACATGAACATAAATTTTAATAAAAACTATATGAGAAAATTAGTGAGATGGAATCAAAGTAATTTACTCTTTACATTGTTATTTGTTTGCATGTATTTGTCTATTTTAGGCATTATTTTCCTATATTAAGTTGCCAGCATTTTAGAAAAATGAAAACTTTTGAGTGTATTATACACTTAACTGTATTACAGTATTTCTTGCTAAGATAATATTTACACATCTACTTTTATTTGACATACATTCAGCAGAACTCCTGGTCACTATTGAACTTTTTTGTTTGTTTCTTAAATAACTTGGAAATAAAAAAAAACTAATTTAATGCGAGGTTATTTTTTATAAGAAGTTCTCACATTTTTAATGAAAACTGAGAAAATCCTTAAATTGTTGAAATAAAAAGCTGAAAAATGTTGTTTTAAAACATTAAAATCAAAATGTGAGTTTTTCAAAACAATCTCTATTACAAAGTCATTTAAAGAAATACTGACATTTCAGTCACCTCCATACTGAACTTTTTAGTGAATTAACTTTCATTTCATTATTCATCTTTGTTTCTGGAGCCATCCAGATAGATTGCTCATTCCTCTTGCATGGAAAAGAAATAACTTACTCATTTTTCTTGGCTGATGTTGCAATACATCTTTCCCTAGAAAGATTGTAGGACTGACAGGAGCAAAAAAGGGAAAGATTAACTGTGTTGAAGCTATACATTAATGCTTGGGATGCATGAGAAGAAAAAATAATGTTTCCCTCTTTCCTGTGGGTCTTAAAGTGGTTAGTATTAAACAAGTTGGCTCATAAGTGTAATAACTTTTTTTCCCCCTCTTATAAATTATTTCTCTTTTGAAGGGGAGCACCCAAGGCCCAGAATCTTGCTGTTCAATATGACATGGTCTTGCACAGAGCATATTTTCACTGGGTCAACTCAGAGAAACTGCTGAAACTAAGAAACTATCCTACAGAACAGATTTTCCTTTTTTTCCTCAGCTTAGCAGTCACTTGTGTTCCTTTCAACCCCGAAGAATGACCCGAATTTAATTGCTTTGTTTCTTGGAAAATACCATGTTCCATGTATTTTCTTCCAGACATAGTCTGAAGATGTTAATCAGTTCCCTTGCACTTGGTCATTTGGATAACTGTAATCCTTAAAGAAATTATTACTTTCTGGATATCAAGAATACGACCAAGTGTGAGAGACTGAAATGCTGTTAATGTCTTAAACATTGTCAAAATCACAGAAAGACTTTTTGTCAAACTGCAAAGAAGCAACTGCCCATCTGTGACCACCAAAGCACTCACCTCTCTCCCAGATATGCCTCCTGACTGGAATTTGGACTGTAACTGGGGACTTGAGATAAGACTATTGTCCAATTCTCTCAGATCTGAGGAGAAGTAAACAAGGCTCAGGGAAGAAGAATGTATCTCTGTTAAGAATCAGCCCTAGCTGGCCCCAGCAGGTGGAGGAGGAGAAGGGTTTTTAGTGTGTGATGGCAAAATCTCTCCACACAAAAGCAATAACTCCGCCTCCGGCAAGGCCACATACACAAGGGGCATTCACATGAGAGGCAGCTGAGAAGGGGTCATAAATCATCAAAGACCCCCAAAGTGCCCTCCGACTCATTCCTAAGACCTTCTGGCACCAGAGGACTGCAGGTGATCCAAGTGATGCAACAAATACGAGCCTATCGCAAGAAACTGTAAAGCTTCCCCCCAAAAAAGGGAGGTACCTGGGCATTTCCTGAACATGTATTAATCCATTGGACTCAATGTTTTATGGGTCCCTCACCATCAAGGATACTAGAAGAGGAGGACCCACGAGACGCCATTCGGTTCCATGGAGTGGTGATACATTTCTATTTCATCTCTCCCTGTCACTCTCATTCTTCCCTACTCTCTCCTTTTTCCAATTCCTTTTTTTCTCTCTCTGCCTCACATTCATATTGAAGGGAATGATCCTGCAGGATTAGAGGCCCAGCTATTGCCTTTATCAGGGAGCAGCAAGGACTTGCTGCTTTTTAAGGACAGGCAGGGCCCTCTCTGTCAAGGGCACAATGTCACAGCAATTGAGCAGCAAAGAGCAGAGAAGGTTGACAACAGTGATCAGAGTCAGATATGGTCCACTCTGCCAGGTGCATCTCTAGTGACAAGGCAGGGCTGAGGTCAAGGCAGAAATTCAAGTCTGGGAGAGGATCAGGGTTGAAATCAGACTGAAAAATTCATGGTTCATAGTTTTAGACAAAGCACCTCAGCTCCACCTCCAGATTATCTGTTGTGACAAGCACTGCCCCCTCTACCATAGAAATATTAAATGTGTAAAAAATAATTTATTCACTGGAAATTAGGTCCTTGCTGGCATCATAATTCTAGACTGATATACCTGGAAGACACAAGAGACTACAAATACAGTTCTGTGAAACATGAATGGGGCTAATTTTGAAGAAGTCTCACAGACTAGTACGAAGAAATAGTTCTCTAGCAGTCCAACATACATGATGGAATAGTTGATTAGTAGAAAAGAGCAGGGAAACTGGTCATAGAGAGAGGAATGATTGCACAGAGCAGAAGCATGGTAAAAGAAAAATAACTACAGAGACAAAAACTGGTAAGAATTATTTTTGGAGTTTCATAATGCTAATAATTAACATTAAAATTAACATTAAAATGTTAATAACATTAAAATTAATATTGATGGGGAAAATTTACCACTATATATATATTATGATCATATTCCCTATCAGAAATCCCAATGCAAAATGTCTGCTGAAATATGGAATAATGTGGAAGAGACAAGGGGTTGACCTTGGTTGGCTGCTGAGTGCCCACTGAGCCACTCTATTGCTCCCTTTCCTCAGGACAGGGGGAAAAAAGTACAATCAAAAGTTCATGGGGATGGCATAAGTATAGGGAGATCACTCAACAACTATCATCATGGGCAAAAGAGACTTGAATTAGGAAAATTAATTTAATTTATTGCCCATTAATCAGAGTACAATAATGAGGAAAAAAGAACAAATTCAAAAACACCTTTCCCCCACACTCCCTTCTTCCCTTGCTCAACTTCCTTTACTCCTGACTTTTCTACCTCTTACCCTAAGCAATGCAAGGAGATAGGGGATGGAGGTCATACCTGGTACATAACACTTTGTCTTTGCTGCTCCTTCCTTCTCACACTCTTCCCCTGCTTCAGTGTGGAGTCTCTCCCATGGGAGACAGTCATCCATGAACTTTTCCAACGTGATCCCTATCCTCAGGCTGCAATTCTTCACAAACTGGTCCAATGTGGGGACTCCCATGGGGTGTAGTCCTTCAAGAACAGGCTGCTCCAGTATGGGACCCCCATGGGATCACAGTACCTGCCAGAAAACATGCTCTAGAATGCATTCCTCTTTACTTGGGTCCTAACCTAACCTGACAGGAACCTGCTCCAGGACGAGCTTCCCACAGGGTCACTGCTTTCACCTGCCCCAGTGTGGAGTCCTCTAGGATCTGCAGGTCAATCTCTGCTCCCCTATGGACCTCCATCATCTGCAGCCAACCTCACCATGGTCTCGACTACGAGCTTCAGGGAAATCTCTGCTCTGGCACCTGGAGCACCTCCTCCCCCTCCTTCTTGGATGACCTTGGTGCCTGCAGGGCTGCTTCTCTCACATATTTTCACTCTTCTCTCCCACCTGCTGTTGTGCAATATTGTTTTCCCTTTCTTAAATATGTTATCCCAGAGACACTACCATTGTCACTGATGGGCTCACTCTTGGCCAATGGCAGGTCCATCTTGGAACAGGCTGGCATTGGCTGTCACACATGGGGAAGCTTCTGGTGTCTTCTCACAGAAACCACTCCTACTTGTCCCCTGCTAGCAGAACCTGTTCCCACAAACCCAATACTACTATGCAGACACTCACAAGTTAATATCAACATTTAGATATCCTAATTTCCAACTGAATTCTGTATTACGTGTTCATAACCAAGAACATAGCATGTTATATGAGGTCATCTAAAGCATTTCTCAAATGTTCTTGAAAGTAAAGTGTAAAATTTCATCTACAAGAAAATAAGACATTAATTTCAAATCTCACAGTAAGATGTTAGTGAAAGATGTGATTTCCACAGGTCTGTGGCTGTGAGAATGGTTAACACTCAACAGGCAGAAGCAAATCAAGCACGTGGGAAAAATCACAACTAGTGTAAGTCAATGCCCATTTAACATTGCACTATCATCTGGACCATACAGCTCATCAGTTCTGTGGGCGTAGGGATGTTTTAAAAAGCTTTCACACTACCTAGGTCTTAGTAGCTTACTCTGAGGCCTTCATTTCATTACCAATAAACAAGGCATTTGCCTTCCAAAAGCTTACTTCAACTGATCCAATACATATTCTGATTATGAATGAGTAGCATGCAGATATATTTGCAGATATATCTGCAAGCATCCAGATATAATAGCTTAGTGGTACTTGGGAAATATTGAATATAAATTATTATTTACATAATTACAGCATCCATGATTGCACTGCCTCATTGCTGAAGAGAACTTTAGGGATTTTCTTAATAAAACATAATTCATTTTCTTTCAGCACTGAAAAGCTGGGTATTCAAGTAGCATGAAGTCAGTACTGTAAATGTTATACAGTCAATAGTATGGGGGAAAAACACATTTCAGTTGATGAAAACAAACTTTAACTGTCATTTTCTACTTCGAGGTTAAGACAGAGGAAGACTTGTAATTTAAAAAGTCATCAAACCCTACCTGACACAATCATGATTGAAAAATCTTTGTTTACTCGTTTTCCAAGTCTTCTAAAAAACTAATGCTGAAGCTGAAATATACAATTAATTGAAAATTAATGAAGATTTTTCACAGTTCTGTCACTTGTTATTTTTACTCCTTTGCTCTTTCTTTTTTAGCTAATATTTTGCATAATATTATATCAACATGCTGGAAGTAAACAATACAATTCGTACTATTAGCATTCAAGGTATCTTCAATCTGGACCCCTTTGTACTCAACTAACTTTACTTCAAAGAATTTAAAAGCTGCAAGGAAAATATGTTCTTTGCCTCTCGCAGAGATGAGGTACATTATTAGAGAGATTAAGATCCAGAGAGAAGGATTTGGGTTAGTAAGTAGGATGAGGGTAAAATGTGGGTCTTTAAATTCAAGTTCAAATCATGGCTAGGCTTCGCGAACGAAGATTTGGGAAGGGGTCTACCCGTGTTTGTTACAAGCACGCTGGTGGCTAAAAAGGCCAATATGAGATAGACACATCCTACTGCAAAAGGCACAGCAGAAAGACTCCTTAGGTGGTAAATTCTGCAAGACACGATTCTTTCTGTGTTGTCTTTTCTCCTCGAGAGTGACCCTGCATGTGTACTCAAAGGAAGCAGCAGCGTTATAGATGGTGTGTCTCCAGACCTCCCAGTTGGAGGCCAGAGTAGACCAGTTATGTTGATCAATATGACCAAGGCTGAGATGTTGTTTCAGGGAGTCTTTGTATCTTTTTCCTGGCTCTCTGGGAAGGTCCCAGATGATTGGAGGTTGGCGAATGTCACCCCAATCCACAAAAAAGGCTGCAAGCAGGACCCTGGCAACTACAGGCCTGTCAGCCTGACCTCGGTGCCTGGCAGGGTTATGGAGCAGATCATCCTGAGTGCAATCACACAGCACCTTCAGGATGGACAAGGGATTAGACCCAGCCAGCACGGGTTTAGGAGGGGCAGGTCCTGTCTGACCAACCTGATCTCTTTTTACGATCAGGTGACCCACCTGGTGGATGAGGGGAAGGCTGTGGATGTGGTCTATCTAGACTTCAGCAAGGCCTTTGACACTGTCTCCCATAATATACTCCTGGAAAAGCTGGTAGCCCATGGCTTGGACAAGTGTACCCTCTCCTGGATTAGGAGCTGGCTGGAGGGTCGGGCCCAGAGAGTGCTGGTGAATGGAGCTGCATCCAGCTGGCAGCCGGTCACCAGTGGTGTTCCCCAGGGGTCTGTGTTGGGTCCAGTCCTGTTTAATATCTTTATTGATGATTTAGATGAGGGGATTGAGTCCATCATCAGCAAATTTGCTGATGACACCAAACTGGGAGGGAGTGTCGACCTGCTGGAAGGCAGGAGGGCTCTGCAGAGGGATCTGGATAGACTTGAGAGATGGGCTGATTCCAATGGGATGAAGTTCAATAAAGCCAAGTGCCGGGTCCTGCACTTTGGCCACAACAACCCCCTGCAGCGCTACAGGCTGGGCACAGAGTGGCTGGAAAGCAGCCAGGCAGAAAGGGACCTGGGGGTACTAATTGACAGGAAGCTCAACATGAGCCAACAGTGTGCCCAGGTGGCCAAGAAGGCCAATGGGATCTTGTCCTGTATCAAAAATAGCGTGGCCAGCAGGAGCAGGGAAGTGATCCTTCCCCTGTACTCTGCGTTGGTGAGGCCACACCTTGAGTATTGTGTTCAGTTCTGGGCCCCTCAGTTCAGAAAGGATATTGAGGTGCTGGAGCGGGTCCAGAGAAGAGCAACAAGGCTGGTGAAGGGACTGGAGCATAAGTCCTATGGGGAGAGGCTGAGGGAGCTGGGGTTGTTTAGCCTGGAGAAGAGGAGGCTCAGAGGTGACCTCATCACCGTCTATAACTACCTGAAGGGAAGTTCTAGCCAGGTGGGGGTTGGTCTCTTCTCTCAGGCACTCAGCAATAGGACAAGGGGGCACGGGCTTAAGCTCCGCCAGGGGAGATTTAAGTTGGATATCAGGAGAAAATTCTTTACAGAGAGAGTAATCAGGCATTGGAATGGGCTGCCCAGAGAGGTGGTGGATTCACCATCCCTGGAGATTTTTAAACGCAGATTGGACG